TTTTTTCATCTTTTTAATTAGAAAAATATAAAACCTGAGTAAGCCTAAAGAACGTCGATTGAACAAAAAGTTGCTGATTAAAATATGTTTGTATTGAATGCATAATGCATTATAATGGGTTTATGTGAAGACTGTTTTAAGTTTACTTAAATTAAAACTTATAATATTTTTTAATATTCTATAACAGTTTAGACCTATTAAAAACAATGGCCCAAATGTTACGGCTATATTTACTCATTTCATGCCCATAAATTGATTTAAATATCAGTATTCATATTGGAATCTGGGATACTTGCCTTCTTTCATAGCACTTAGAAAAAAAAATGTACTGACATTATAAGTGAATGATTTAACCCTCTTAAAATACTCAAACTGAAAAGTCAAATTGACCTGTAGGGACACTCCTCTCCTCTCTTACACTCTCCCTTCACCCAGAAGGAGCAGATATGGGGTCTGTTGCGTTTGTAGTATGGCGTGGGTCGCGCCAGCTTCAGCAGCATGTCACTGGGGTTCTGTGCTTTACCCAGCATCCCTACCAGTCTGGTACCGTCTGAGTTTTGGATCTGACACAGACAGCAAACCAAGAGATTACATAAAGCACATGCTACAATTTTACATTTTTCTTTTTTCAGGCATTGGATTTCTTAGATGTAATATTTGTATTAAATGTCACCTCTCTCTCCATGTTCTGAGTGTAATATTCCTTGTTCACGTCAGACCTCGGCATGTCATCTTTGATGGACATGCCCGTGTCTCTGACCTGGATTGGAAGACCTGTAAACACAAACATTACTTAAGGCCATTATTCGCAAACTGTTCTGTCAGTCAAACTACTTTAATGTGAAATATTTACTTAGAGTAAGATTTTAACTTAATATTTTGATAATTTAACAACACATTTGCATGTGCAGGTAAACAAAAAAATAATAATTTATTTAATTTCATTTATTAATAATCTTTTTTTAATTATTTTGATTGTTTTTATTTTAAAATTATTTATTGTAATGTTTCTTTTTTATAATTTAATGAATTACACAGCCACAGATTTGCAAAAAAAGGTCTAATATAATATTTTTTGAGTTCAAAAATATCAATAAAAACTTTTCATTACATAGTTTTTTCACAAAATAAGAATGAAGATTTTTCAAATTATATAAAGTGCGACAGTGTGGCATTGCAAACATACCCTCTGATATGCAGGGTTATTACAGTTAACTAAAACTAAAACCATAAAAAAAATGTATTTCAGCTAGATTGCAATTCAACATTTATTATTTTCATTTAGCTTAACTAAAACTGAAATAAAAAATAACAAAAACTACAGACATATTAAAAAACAAACTAAAAATGACAAAACACAACAAAATTACTAAAAATTACTTT